TAGGCTGGTGCGGGCCGGGGCCCGGGGGCGGGGGGCTGGCGGGACCGAGTCGGTTCTGGGGAGTCGCCGTCCTTCCCACCCTCGGTGCCCGCGGTCTGCGGGTCGTGCCCGGGCCGGGGCGGGCTGGCGCCCCTTGGAGCCCCGGGTCAGACGCGAGGCCCGCCTGGGTCTGAGCGGCCGCAGTCAGGTGCGGGGCTGGCGGGTCCTGATGGCCCTGCTGCGGCCTGGGTGGCCCTGCCCTCGCTGTGTGCGGCAGCTGCTCCGGGCCCAGGGTCCCCGAGGCTCAGACCTCATCACAGTGACGACACCGGCACAGCCCTGGTTCTTTGCGCTTTCTCAGAGGCGCCCCTCCCACTCCGTGATAGCCGACACGCGGAATGCGGGAACAGCTGTGAACATCCAGCTGTTGGCAGGCCCAAAGAGATTTGCAGACATTGAGAACATTCTCACTAGTTATTTTCGTCTTGAAAAGATACATTAATTTTTCCATTCCAAGGTGGTATTTTTGTTAATGTGTAATAGATTTAATGTTGTTCCTGTCAAGAGAATAGTAAGTGCTTATAGCATTAACAACACAGGTAATAGCAGCCGATTTAATTCACATAAACAGCAGCCCTTCAGGGTGCTCATTGTTTGAGGGGTCTTTAAACAAAACCATTAGAGAGCCAGGAGAGAAGGAATCCTCAGGAGCCTGCCTCTGAGTCCATGGGTCTTCCTTTCCCATTAAGCTGCTGCTGAGCCCCCAGCAGCCCCTGCTCTGGGTTGGAAAGGAGTTGGTCAGATAGAGGCAGCCGGAACTGCCTTCACCGCACAGAGGGCCGAGGAGTGCGTCTGGAGTCCAGCTGTGCACTGAGACTTGTAAGCCCCGGTTGCCTGCAGAGGCCTCGGCGCTCAGGTGCCCGCTCTCCCCTGCTCAGGTACCTTCTGTATGATGTCAACCCCCCAGAAGGCTTCAACCTCCGCAGGGACGTCTACATCCGCATCGCCTCTCTCCTGAAGACTCTGCTGAAGACTGAGGAGTGGGTGCTTGTCCTGCCTCCCTGGGGCCGCCTCTATCACTGGCAGAGTCCTGACATCCACCAGGTCCGGATCCCCTGGTCTGAGTTTTTTGATCTTCCGAGTCTCAATAAAAACATCCCCGTCATCGAGTATGAGCAGTTCATTGCAGGTGAGGCAGAGCGCCGTGCTGTGAGGCGGCCCTAGGTTACCTGCCTGGGCTGCTGGGGTGTAGACCGGCCCCGAGCACCTCAGCCTGTGATGGCGCTGCTGCGGGAGGAACCCAGTTCCCTGTCCTGGCAGTCCTTCTGAAATTTCTCTAGGGACTAGATCTGAAGTGAGAGCCTTTGTGCCCCTCGCCACTGAAAACCCCGGCAGCCTGGTAAGTAAGCCAAGTGCTGTTAGCATGGTGTTAAGAAAGGGGGTATCCTTGGGTGGCATCCTCACAGATGTGGCTTCTTGTATCAAGGACAGTATGTGTGCGAGTGTGTGTGTGTGTCTTTGTAGGGACCAGATGTTGCCTCACTGCACTGCTGGTGAGGACTTTCATAAAGATGTGTGTGATTTCAGTTAGTGTCTTAATTTTTCCACTGTAATTTCTTATTTATTTATTTATTTATTTATTCTATAAGAAACAGACCCCCCCCTAAATAGAGTTCTCACACTGGGATTGCACTCAGCTGGCCTGGATCACAGGGATACACACCCATTTCCCTGCCCGTTATGCTTCAGGAGGTCCCTGGACACGAACCCAAGACCTCTCAAACACTATGGGTCCAGTGGTGTTGCCACTGTGCCACCGCTGGGCCTTTTTTTTTAAAATTTTTTTTAGAGAAGACTCGCAGCTTTTCTTAGGATAGAGGTATTTATTGTTGTTGTGTTTGGAAGGCCTAAATGAGGTGACACTTCTGTAGAATTTGCGAACCCTGAAATAAGGGTGTGTTTTGAATCGGGCCGGAAATGTGACTAGATTCTTAGTCTACCACTGCCCAGGGCTTAGACTGCCCCTGTGCAGCAGCGTGGCTTCCCGTGGTCGTGGTCCTTGCTGCATCTCAGCTCCTGTCACTGTTTTCTGCACAAGAGTCGCGCCTGTGAACAGTGCCGGAGTCTGGCGTGCTCACCCTCTGTGGGTTCTTGGAGTGCACTCTTTC